CTTTTTGAATTTTATTATTATCTAGGTTGTTCTGGGTTGTTCTATGTTTGTTCTACATTGTTCCAAAGTATTATTTGAAAAAACTCAAATTTGAAGCTGTCAGGTAAAAAAAACCGTTTTTGAGATAGCCCACCTCTGTGAAGTTAGCCCCCCACTTTTTGAATTTTATTATTATCTAGGTTGTTCTGGGTTGTTCTATGTTTGTTCTACATTGTTCCAAAGTATTGTTCGAAAAAACTCAAATTTGAAGCTGCCAGACAAGAAAAACCGTTTTTCTATGGTAGCCCCCATGTTTGGAAATTCAATATTTTTTTAGTTGTTCCAAGTTGTTCTAGTTGTTCCAAACATTGTTCCAAAGTATTATTTGAAAAAACTCAAAGTTGAAGCTGCCAGACAAAAAAAACGTTTTTATGGTAGCCCCCCATGCTTGGAAATTCAATATTTTTTTAGTTGTTCCAAGTTGTTCTAGTTGTTCCGAACATTGTTCCAAAGTATTATTTGAAAATATTCAAATTTGAAGCTGCCAGACAAAAAAAACGTTTTTATGGTAGCCCCCCATGTTTTGAAATTCAATACTTTTTTAGTTGTTCCAAGTTGTTCTAGTTGTTCCTAACATTGTTCCAAAGTATTATTTGAAAAAACTCAAATTTGAAGCTGTCAGACAAAAAAAACCGTTTTTGAGATAGCCCCCCATGTTTGGAAATTCGTTATTTTTAAAGTTGTTCCAAGTTGTTCTAGTTGTTCCTAACATTGTTCCAAAGTATTATTTGAAAAAACTCAAATTTGAAGCTGTCAGACAAAAAAAAACCGTTTTTCAGATAGCCCGCCAAATCAAATCGTACTAGAGACAATAAATAAATCAACAATAATTTTAAACAATGACGATCGTATCAGTACAACCGTGGGCTATATCGTTCCAATTTCATTTAATCATTTTGAATAAAATTAATAGTTATAAGACAAGAAAACATTACACTATAGGGTAAACTCCCTAATTGTTGGCACTTTAAGAGTAGGTTCCATGTCAGTCAGACATTAAATTACCATAAAATCACATCTAAATGAGTTAGTACACAACACATGTAACAGTATCAAGGAAATATAGTTCAATCTTTGTTTTCATAATAGTACAGTCAATGAAGGCAAAAATCAGCTATAACCTCCGATTTCGATGAACCTCCATCGATTTTCATGAAAAATGGTGATGAGGTGGGGGATACCATATGAAACAAAAGTGACATAGTGCCAACTTGCGCTTTTTCCCTAGGGGTAGATACCACCCCTTCTCGGGGGTAAAAATTATTTTAATAAAAATAACTCCAGGAATCGATAGAAAGACAAATTCTAAGCAAAAGTTGTTATATTAAGTTTTCGAAATAAATCAATACTTTCTGAGTTAATAATGATCAAAGATTGTGATTTTGTGCCAAAAAATTCATGATTTAAGCGGTTTTTATAAATATCTCAAAAACTATGAGTTTAAAGAAAAATATATTATTACTAGACGCAACGAATATTCGGTTACTATTCGGTATTCGGCCTATTCGGCTGCTTTTATTATATTCGGCCGAATACCGAATACCTACATATTATTCGTCCGAATACCGAATACTTAAATAATATTTTTTGTCATAGAGAAATAATTGGTAAAATGAAAATTAATATCGATTGATTACGTAGGTATATATTCATATTTTAATTTCTGTTATATATAATCATTAAAGTAGTCATTGGTACATAATCATCTTCTGAATTGGAAAAATGGAGGACTCTATGTATTTGAATTATTGTGGTAATCAAAATTTAAAAGGGTAAGGTTCTCATTTATTTTATAATAATTTATTAAGTAGTCATGGGTACATAAAACAGGTACATAATTTCATCATTTTCTGTATTAAACAAGTTAAGAATTTTTCTATGCATTTGAATTATTTTCATAATCAAAATTTAGAAGGGGGAGGTTATGGTGCAGAAAGATTAAATTTTCTGCATTTTTAGGAAGTAGTAGAAATTCTTTTTTTCTCGAACACCATCCCAGCTTCAGAGTAAAGGCGCTCTGAATAAACACTACTTCCTGGCGCCGACAAATATTTTGCTGCAATCTTAATCAAACACGGAAATTCAATTTTCCTTGCTGCCACCATGTATATGGGTTGTCATGACGTGATATATTACTAATATTTAAGAAAAGATCCATTTCTGTTGAAACTGCGTTTGACTGAATTGCACTGCAAACAAAAGGGCGCGAAACAATCACAAGTTTTTGGCGCTTGTACAAGTTTTTGGCGCTAAAATCCAGCCGGATACTTTTGCCTAATATTCAGCTATTCGGTCAGGGGCCTCGCCGAATATTCGGTATACTGCCGAATATACTATTCGTTGCAAGTCTAATTATTACCAAAATTGAAGCTACTAAAAAAAAACAAACCCCTTCTTTGAAAAACCTTCTTATATGAATTCAAAGTGAGCTATTGGTAATTGTATGTATATTTTTTTTCGACGAGTACTTAAATCTAAGTTTCCAACCCTAAATAACGGGAAACCGATGCATTTTAATGAATGGTTGGAATGAAGGGTTTATTTTTCGTTTTTCCTAAAAAAAATAAGTGTTATCTTATTTTTATCATAACTTTTTAAATTTTGAAGTTGTTAACTTTTTACAGTACTCATTATAAAGGTATTTCTGAGAAATTTAAAAAGTGCTCCGGAAATGTATGTCATAAATTCATCGGTTTCCCGTTATTTAGGTTTGAATACTTAGATTTAAGTACTTGCCGAAAAAAATATATGTACATACAATTACCTATAGCTCACTTTGAATTGAAATTAGAAGATTTTTCAAAGTAGGCGTTTGTTTGTTTTTTTATTAGCTTCAATTTTGGTACTAACATTTTTTTGTAAAGCTCATAGTTTTTGAGTTATTTATGAAAAACCGCTTAAACATGTATTTTTATAACGCAAAATCACAATATTTTATCTTTAATAACTCAGAAAGTATTGATTTATTCCGAAAACTTAATATAACAAATTTTACTTAGAATTTGTCTTTGTATCGATTCCTGGAGTTATTTTTATTAAAATTATTTTCACCCCCGAGCAGGGGTGGTATCTACCCTCAAGGCAAAAGCGCAAGTTGGCACTATTTCACTTTTGTTTTTTATGGTATCCCCCATCTACTTACCAATTTTATTGTAATTTAATGTCAGCTACCTACTCTTAAAGTGCCAATAATTAGGGAGTTTACCCTATATTCTAATGTTTTCTTTTCTATTAATTTAATTCAAAATGATTAAATGAAATTGGAACGATATAGCCCACGGTTGTACTGTTGTTGTATAATCGTCATTGTTTAAATTGATTTTTGATGTATTTAGTGTCTCTGGTAGGTACGATTGATTTTATTTTATAGATAAAAGTTTTTTTTTGTCTTACAGCTTCAAATTTTATTTTTTTCAAATAATACTTTGGAACAATGTTAGGAACAACTAAAAAAATAATGAATTTCCAAACATGGGGGCTACCATAGAAAAACGGTTTTTCTTGTCTGGCAGCTTCAAATTTGAGTTTTTTCGAATAATACTTTGGAACAATGTAGAACAAACATAGAACAACCCAGAACAACCTAGATAATAATAAAATTCAAAAAGTGGGGGGCTAACTTCACAGAGGTGGGGCTATCTCAAAAACGGTTTTTTTTACCTGACAGCTTCAAATTTGAGTTTTTTCAAATAATACTTTGGAACAATGTAGAACAAACATAGAACAACCCAGAACAACCTAGATAATAATAAAATTCAAAAAGTGGGGGGCTAACTTCACAGAGGTGGGGCTATCTCAAAAACGGTTTTTTTTTGCCTGACAGCTTCAAATTTGAGTTTTTTCAAATAATACTTTGGAACAATGTTAGGAACAACTAGAACAACTTGGAACAACTAAAAAAATATTGAATTTCCAAACATGGGGGGCTACCATAAAAAAGTTTTTTTTGTCTGGCAGCTTCAAATTTGAATATTTTCAAATAATACTTTGGAACAATGTTAGGAACAACTAGAACAACTTGGAACAACTAAAAAAATATTGAATTTCCCAACATGGGGGGCTACCATAAAAAAGTTTTTTTTGTCTGGTAGCTTCAAATTTGAGTTTTTTCAAATAATACTTTGGAACAACGTTCGGAACAACTAGAACAACTTGGAACAACTAAAAAAATATTGAATTTCCAAACATGGGGGGCTACCATAGAAAAACGGTTTTTCTTGTCTGGCAGCTTCAAATTTGAGTTTTTTCAAATAATACTTTGGAACAATGTAGAACAAACATAGAACAACCCAGAACAACCTAGATAATAATAAAATTCAAAAAGTGGGGGGCTAACTTCACAGAGGTCATCATTTGATTATCAACAATAAAACTCGTTTACTCATACGTTATTTTATAATTTGGCTCACTTAATTTAACGGTTTTTACTACGAAGTAAAATAGGCCTCGCGAACTTGATGTCGCCGACGTCCACATGCGGTCTAGCGCCGCCACTGCGGCTGCCACTAAGAGACCTCCTTGATGGAATTACCAATCGCCCCCCAAGCCGTCAAACAAAGCCAATCGTCTACTACACCATACCATTTTTTCCTGGGTCTCTTATCCCCCCCCCCCCTTAGGTCTGCAGCGCCAACAAGGGAAAGGCTGCTGAAGACCTTGGCATAGCTATAGGGCCCTGCTTGTGCACACCACGTTTTAAACGCGCCGTAGCGCGTTTGTAGTAATACAGACGCAATGCCAACGCGCGTGTGTAGGGAGCGATACTAACGCGCGTGTATAAAGTAACCGTAAACGGCAAAAAACTGCTCTTTCATCAGAGGCTCTTTATGATAAAATGCGCCGTTAATACAAGTTTCGAAAACACTTGTTTAAAAAACATGGTGTGCATGTGTGTGTTTTTTCAAGAAAACAATATTTGAAAAGCAATGTTTTATTAATGTATGTCTGATTTCACACATATTGCTTAAGAAAAACTATCATCCTTCAAACGCACTCGTAACTGCGTTCATACTTCAAACAAACATAAACGAAACGGGGTTTTACCGTACGTCGTGAGTGTTGCCAATTGTTTAATGGTAATTTTCAATCAAAAAGCGTGGTAGGTTTTGAAATAAACAAAAGTTTAAAATGACTCATAAATATTAATCAACGTTATTTAATACCCTAGATACAACATCACGAACAAAATCGTGACCGAAACATGTCCAAAAGGTACATTGGACGATCCACTGACCTCCTTGAGATGATAGCGTAATCCAAAACAGTAAAAGGCATTTTAGACATTTTAAACAGTCACCTTAAATTCAACTGAATAAGGCGTTGAGCAGACGACGGGGCGGGGCGGGCATTTTGTCTGCGAAGCAATAGACCGCGTCTGCCCGTCGATGTCTGCGGCTGTCCGCGCCGCGTACACAAAGCACACGACCGCGACGGGCAGAGGCGGTCAGTTAAGGACGTTCGTTCTAGTGAATAGTCCATCACTAATAAGCGCGTGGCGCGGACTAAGCTGACCGCCCCGCGCCGCCGTCTGCGTTACTGCATATAAACTGGTTTGTATGATCCACGGCGGGCAGCCGCGGACATGCCGCGCCGCCACTGCCCGCCGGGCACCTGCGGCGCGGTCTTTTTGCCGTCCGTGTGCGTTTGTAGTATAGGATTCACTTTGTGCTATTATTCGCGGCGAAATTGACCGGCCCGCCCCGCCCCGTCGTCTGCAAAGCGCCTAAAGGTCTTCATTAAAACGCATCCGTCAGAGTTATGACAGTTCTAAAATTTGCAAGCTCGTAAAGTTTTACGACTAACTGCTGTATTATGCGGAAGAATGTAGACCTTATTTCTTGACTCTCGAGCAATTCTGAATGCGCTGTTAAGCGGCCTACTGACATGCCTGCCGCAGGGAGAATCTAGGGTGCACAGCGGTCGGGGCAATATCGGTTTGTCTCTATACACATGCCTGCTATTCAGTGTTCGGGGGTATGTTGAGCTAAACACACGCGTTGATGATGGTCCCAGTGTTATAAAAAAATCAGAAGATCAGTAGGTAGGGCCTTGGCTTTTTCCATGGTGTTAGCGCAAAAAAGGAAATACTGGCCTGCCACAGGACCAATTTAGAAAGTTGCCCCACACACTTCACAATTGAGGGTCATCCCCACTCTTACACCCTAGATTGCCCCTGCGGCAGGGATGTTAGTAGTCCGCTTTAGCAATATAGCAGGTACGGACCGCGAGGAAAAGAGAGGCTATATTAGCTACCATGCATTTGAATATCAGAAATATTTTCTATTAATGTTTATAGCAAGTATTAGAACAAAATTTGCTTTAAATGCGTTCAATTAACATTGATTAGATACCTATCGAAAAACGACACTACTTCAATTTTTTTTGCGCATTTTTTCACGGAGCTCTGCAGCATCTCAACTTTTCAGCGGTCCGCGCGTGACTGTGAACCAACAAGTGCTCGAGTGGTTTTCAAGTACATACTTCTTGATGGGACACATTTAGAGCGCACGTAGTATATCTAGGCTATTTATTAACGTTGGTATTAATATTTAACGGAAACTTCCTTTTATTATTTTCAATTCCATACTGGTGAAAAAACATGCTCCAGAAAAAAAAACACAATTATTTATCACATTAAAAAAACAGTTTTTTACATCTCTAGTTATGTCCCAAGTCTGAATAAATCCATCCAGCAAAATTCTGTAACTATCTGACGGAATCTCTATATTACAATCTATTGAAAGATTCAGGCCTTCCACAAACTATTTTATAAGTTTTAGACAAGAACTTAAAAAGATAGTATCTTAAGATGAGTATGAATTGCCAGGCAGCCTTGGGTTAAGCCACTTGCAGGTCTCCTCATTTGCTGAAATTTATGTGTCGCATACGCAGCTCACCTAGATTTAGATCACTCTTTCCTTCTCTCAGACTTTCCACCCTGTGCCACTCAATTGGCCTAGCAATTATTCAGAGAATGATTAGATTTAGTGTGTTTCTGCCAGTTCCTAGCAATTCTATGATAATATCCAGCAGTTTGTGGTGGCAGCAACCTATGATTAAGACTTTTGTATAGTTTAATACAGAATACAAGTCTTACTTCTTTTTTTGTTATCCATATTGAAGGGGTTGAAGAAAACATTCATCTAGATGGTCCAAGACTGGTTTTACAATGACTCTAAAAAAACACCCGAAAGACCCATATACTTTCAATTAATTGCTACCTTCACAATCTCACAAGGCACAAACCAGGTAAGTTAAATAAAACTGTTTAAAAAAAATAGTCCTCACTCTAAGAGCAATTATTTTAGGCATGATTAATTTACTGGTTTACTATTCAAGTATGTAATAGTTTATAATTGTACTATAAATATGATACTGTTGAGGCATTTGCAAAGTTGGGCAAGAAATATGTCACTATCAAGCAAGACTGGACTACATATTGCATCAGCTTTGTAAAAAAACATCTCAGCTTGAGAACCGGCTTTATGTAAAACCACCTTGGCTAGTTACAATTGCAACCACCGTCACAGATTTTTGTGAGCCAAAAAAGAAATTTATCTGTGTCTAGCTTTTTTGTTGTTACTTTTCTTGACACTGTTACCACTAGAATTACTATTTGACAATTTATGTTTTAGTGCATTTGGGGTATTTTCATTTTTGTTCAATACATTCAATGCCAAATCTTTTTCTTTAGGTGTGCCAGGTCGACTATCCAGACCAACTGCTGCCAACATTTTACTTTCATTAAAAGCTTTCTGCAGCATACCAGAAGAAGTTGCAATTTTTTGAGTAGCACTCTGCTTTGTTTGACTCATAGGTTTATCCATATTAATATTTGTGTGCTGTTTTCCAGATGGCTTGGATGCAATACTTTCAGAGGATCCATGTATGGTAGTATGATTTAAATTTCCTATATTTAGACCAGAACTGATTTGTGTATCTGATGAATCTTCATTTGTTTGTGATTCTGTCTCGCTGTTTCTCTCATCTAAAATGTAAATAAATATTTTAAAAAAATGTGAATTGTGACTACAATATATACAAAAAGCAATGTCAAAATTATTGTTAGAGAACTGTTGGGACTTCACTAAGAAAATTGTAGTGCCAACTCTTGGGCACAGAAAAGAGCTAATAACTTACTTTTAGCTTCAGCAGGATCGACAAGCCCACTAACAGCCTGAAATAAAGTTGTGTTTTAGTTTTTATAGAAATAGAATTTAACCACATCACCATTACTAATAAAATTATTTTTTCTTACTGCCATAGATGTAATTGATGATTTAGAGAATAATCTCTCTGCTTCTTTAAATTTTCTGTTACGTTTATCTGCTTTAGAATTTGTACTTTTATTGGTTGTGAGGTATCGATCCCATCCTCTAATTATATTACCATAAAGTTGAGTATCTTCCAAATAGGAACCCTCAAAAGCATAAATTTGACGTTCCAAATTTGCCAATGTTTCCTGTAATAAATGTGCCATTAAGTAATAGTAGTAATAAAAATTTAGGTTGCAACTTGCAAGACATTTCTGTTTAGCAATAATTTGCATACTCTTCCTACATCCTGTTTTGTGTTATTAAAAAAGTAGGTAGGTTTTTTTACATTGGTAATTATAATGCGATTCAACTAAGAATAGGATCGACTGGGTGCCATTTTGTGATGTCAAAGCTGTCAATTGAAACAAAATAGGTAGAGTGAGCAATAACAGTTTTTCTTCATTAAAACTTATTTACTAAGATTAAGCGAGATAAAACATCAGATTTTTTTTGAAATAAAACTTATTAACTATGATTAACTTGTGAGAAAAAACATCAGATTTTATTAATAAAATTTACTTACTAAGATTGAGAAAAAAAAAACACCGATTTTTAATAACATTAATAACTGTGTGAGTAAAAATATTAATCGGAATCTAGCTCTTCAATTCCGCTCAGCTCTGCATAACTACCAGAGTTGTCATCGTCGTCATGTTTGTTTACAAATGTTTGGTTTTTTTATTCTAGAATTAGCTGAGTGCTAAAAAAGAGTTCCAAGATTTTTTGACAACCGTACTTTTCAAGCGTCATTTGACAGATGGAGGGCTTTCCTATTCTTAATTGAATCGCATTATATGAAGTTCTGTGAAGAGATAGTATATCAACCTCTTCATCTCTACGATTTGCCTAAACTATTAGCACTATGACTTTTGAAAGTGTTCCTCAACTGATATTCTTTCTGATATCTTTCATTGTATTTTCTTGAATATATTTAAATTACATTTTGTTTACTTTGATCAAGTTGTTATAACAATAAATATAAAATATAAAATAAATTTACACTTCATAAAAAGTTAATATGTTCGATTTTATATAATAATAATTATCTCAATAAAGTTACTTACAGCGACTTCTGCTTTCCTTTTAACCAATTCCGCTAACTCTGTTCTTGTATCAGCTACTGACGTCTGTTTGGACGCCATATTGAGTTTTCTTGCTTGTTGGTTTTGGGCGTCTGTAACGGGACTTTGAGGTGATACAACCATGACGTTATTTAGCTATCTTAATTCTTCAATATTCTCAAAAATCCATAGTTTTAATTCAGAAAATGGTAAATAATACGAATGGAAAATTTTATGTAATAATTGCCTTTTCCACAAAAAATTCGCACGCACAATCACTGATACTAGTGATCAAAGAGTAAAGCACAGACTATTTAGATATAGGGACACGAAAAAAGTATCGATACTTTCTGGAATCGAGTACTTTTCCTTTCGATACCGATACTTTTGTACTTGATTCTTTGTATTCGATACTTTTACTAAACGAGTACTTTTTGGCAAGTATCGTAACCTTTTCATAGTTATTTATTTAGCGACCATATTGTTAGGAACTGTGATTGATTCGCCGTTTATTGTGCTTTACGCTTGACTGTATTTGATTTATTCAACTATTAATCTGTCTGTGCTGTGTATACCTATTTGAAACCACCTGAAAAAAGGACGGACGTAACCTCTTCCATAAATAATTATATCAACTTCACTCAAGATTATAAAATCTTGAGTGAAGCATGCCAATAGCAGCCGTTAATTACGTGTCAGATTCAAGTTAACATAAGTGGGTATAATGTTTTTTAATGATTAAAATTCAAGAAAAGTAAGTTTAATTAGAAACAAATCTGAAAAGTTTCATATTTTTAAATTGTTTAAGATTTCGATCTTTTTAATTAACATTTTAATAATGAATATAATATAAATGAACACTTTTTTAGTGTCAGAAATCACAGCTATTTTCTTTTCATTATATAATATAGCAATTTGTGAATTTACATGTCCTTTTTTTGTTTTTGATTATACGTACTACAATAAAATTCGATTGTTTTTCTTTCAATTTTAACACCCTTTGCTCATCAGGTCACAGAGGCTCCGATAAGGCCCTATGAAATGTACTCGATACTTTGAAGTATCGATACTTTTGTTTCGATACTTTTACGAGTACGATACTTTTTTACCGATACTACCATGAGTAGAGTACAATATCGATACTTTCTATTCGATATCGTGTCCCTATTTAGATACTACGGAGTAAAGTAAGTATACCAATGATATTGTCAGTTTTTTTTTAATGTTCTCCTTTCTCCCTTTTCAAGGAAGGCAAAGGGAACTATGTCCATACAACTTAATCTTCAATTTTATTAATGTTCTTTTATTTACATTACAATGTAGGCGTGACACATTCTAATGTTTCTTGGGAATGTTTCGCACGAAATATATCGAGTCAGCTATCTCGTAAGCTTCTGTGAATCAATTAACACTACTATTCATCCCTAATGGTTAGTAACAATGATGCTGACAAATCAAGTGTTAGTAAATTGAATAGGCTAGTTGACTCATGTCGAATTGTATTAAATAAATGTTTATTTCTTAAAGTATTTGGTCTAAGGAACCTAAATATATTGATTTCACTTCATAAAAGCAGAAGATTGCTGTAGAAATTAAATTTAAAAAAATATTTTTTAGTCTATATTTTTAAACACTAAAAACGCTGTTTCCCACATCCGCCATGATTGTGACGTCTCTTATGGTAAACAACTAAATGTCATTCGCGTGTTACTGTAGGTGGATTCTTTTGTCTGACTTAATTTATCTTAAACACTTTTAACTTTAGAAAAGTTTCCGTTTACTGTTTTTTTTTTGAAAAAAACTAATTATGGATGCCGGCTTTGTGAAAACAGAAAGCACAAATCTGCCAAGAATTGACGCATTGATGGTTGGTGAATTTATTGCACTAAACCCCGATTTCTGCTCTGCGGAGCAGAGACGCGACAAGGCATCTATGTAAGTACAGTGTATTTAGTATGTAGCAATAAACATAAAACTGATACAACATATGAATAAGTGTAATAAAGTTGCGTAGGTTAATTTCTTTCGGCACTTTAATCCACAACTTTCCTGGAGTCTTAAAGGATATGTTTTTATATTCTCGTGCAATACAATAATGATAATTACTTTATTTTTCGTGGTATTTATTAGAAATCATGTTTTTTTTTGTTATAAACTGAAATAAGTTATTTTCTATGTGTTTACGAGTTTTTGTTTACTGCAGTTAACGTCATAGCATAGATAATCTATAGACTAAAATGGCCGACAGCGTTTTTGTATGTCCATGAAATATCTATTTTAAAATTAAAGATTTGTTGCTTTTTAGGTCTCAAAAAAATACAATACATTTTTTTTCGGTCTACTATAACACTTATTAACCATTTAAAACCTTTTTCCAAAAAGGGTCAACATGCCTATTGAATAAAAGAAAAAACAAACATCAATAAAAAATTAACGACTAGGAAGTCAAATCAATATAGTTACAATAAAGTTCTCACGTCCACTATACCTAAATAGCGTATATTTTTTAAATAGCGTCGATTCTATTATTAGGTATGTACTATATTTCTTTACGTTAAAATTCTTCACTTGCGGTTCCTTGAATGACGTAGACGTACATTTGACGACCGTTGACAGCCAGCAAACTTAGCAATCAAACTTGCTATCAGTGGTATCGATTCTGGCGTGATTCTCTAAAGTACGATTAATAATTCGAGTCAGTAAAATGACAAGTGCAACTGTCACTGATATAAAAAAGGGTGACCCGCTACAATAGTGATGTTCGGCAATCAATAGACTGAGACATTTAGTCATGCTTTATTTTATTAGGTATCAAAGAGTTTTCTTTTATTGTAAATACACACATCAAAAGTGTCTAGGGATCAACATATATTTTTGCAATAACTTTTCTCCTGATTGATATTAATTAAAATTTTCTTTAAGGATTCATCAAATAAAGTGTTTTCGTTTGTCACAGTAACGATAAACCAAGTCACCTTTGCATTAATAAAGAAATTTGCCATTTTCCTAATAAAGGGATTTTTGACATTTGAACCACTAACACAAAAGTTCGAAAAAAAGACTGAAATAACAGTTTTCTCTAAAATTTTATTGGGTAACTTAAACAATTAATAATCCGTATTTCTACCGCGAACACTAACAACACAAGAACATCGGTTTGGCATACTCAAAATGAGTTCATCCAAATCACGCTGTGGAATGGCCGCCCATGTTCGTTGCAACAACAAAAAAAGGTCTTCTTGCGACTGGATACCCTCCATATTCGGCAGAGCTCTTCTCTGTAGCATATCCCATGCATGCTCAATCGGGTTCAAGTCTGGCGACTGAGCAGGCCAGGGCAGGACATTGATGTTAGCTGCGGCGAGAGTCTGTCTTACAACTCTTGCGGTGTGCGGACGTGCATTATCATGCATTAACTGAAATAAGGGACCGATTTGCACTTGTAGAGGAACGATGACGTCTGATACAATCGTCTCAGCATAAATTTGAGCGTTGAGGTTGCCTCTGATCCAAATCAACTCAGTTCTTCCGCCGATCCAAATACCCGCCCATACCATGATGGTTCCACCACTATAAGGATGGACTTCCTGGCAGGATTTTAATCGCTGTTGGCGTCCAGGGGTTCTCCAGTGTCGTATACGTCTTGTATCCGGTCTCATACCAAAACGAGACTCATCAGAAAAGCACACGAAACGCCATTGTTCTTCTGCCCAATTTCTGTGTTCAAGAGCCCATTGATATCGAATCCTACGATTGTGCATTGCTATAGGTGGTACCCGTAGCGGTCTTCGGGAATGAAGGTTCACTTCATGCAAGCGGTTTCTGACTGTTTGGTCGCTAATTAAGTTCCCTGAAGAGTGATGAAGCCTCACGGCTAACATCATGACGGTTATTGTTGGAGCTCTTCGAGTTAAGATTTGAATGTATCGGTCTTGTCTCCGTGTGGTGCAGCGATACCGTCTTCCATGGCGCTCAGCCACGGTACCAGTGCTTCGGTATCGTGTCCAAAGTCGACTGATAACACTCTGACTTGTATTCAGAGCTAAAGCCACAGTACGTTGCCGGGAACCAGCTTCTATCATTCCCACGGCTCTGAGCATTTCTTCCCTGCTTAAATGACGTCGCCGCTCCATAATAACGTTGGTTTTAATCAATAGTAGGGAAACAGTAGCACTAATAATGTCTTCAATGCGTTGTATGTTTTTATAGGGAAAATATTGACAGCTGATTTTCATCTTTTACTCGAATTTGATTCACAGTTCCTGATTCAAATTATGAAATGCACCAAAAAGGATCCATATAAATTTATAAAATCATAAATTTATTACAAAGCCACATCTCAATCTCAAGAAATCCGCATAAAAATGCTTGATCCCTAGACACTTTTGATGTGTGTATGTAATACATACCATTTGAAATAATATGATTTTAGAAATATGGACCTTACCAGCATTAATATGCTCACTACAACATTATTACAAAAGCTGGAAAAAATGTTTAAAGAGGTTCAGAGGAATTAAGTAAAACAATACAAGTCATTTTATACGTTTTTATTCATTACAGTTGATATTGATTCCGACTCCGATTCTGCATCGGTATATTCAGAATCGGAATCAGTTACATTTATAATGAATGAATCCACAGATGCATTTATGATGTGGTCGAGTTGCCACATTTTGTCTTCAACTTTTATGGCATGGTTGATGCACTGTCTCCAATTTTCAGGTATCACTTCCTTCAGACCTTCTTCAAATATTTTTTTTACGTCTTTTATTTTAAAAGTAAAAGACGACGTACCCCTTTGCTTGAGCCCAAACTAACTCTATCGGGTTGAGCTTGCAGTGATAGGGGGGCAGACACAGGATTGTGACACCGTATTCAGCGGCTAACTCTTCCACAGCATAGCGTTCGTAATTAGTTTTTTGTAATTTTACTATTTCTATTAATTGAGCCTTGATCATTGTAGGTTGATATTGAATTTGTTTTTCATCCAACCACTGAATAATATCAGCCTTCCGCCAGTTTGAAGTACGGTGCGTTATCTAATACTAGCACAACATTTGGATTTAAATTTGGCAAAATGCTTTTAAGCCATTCCTCAAAACACTCCGAGTTCATTTCTTCATGATAGTCCATACTATTTTTCTTCGATTTAAAAATAAGTGAACCGGCTTCTACAAAACCTTCATCACTGCCTGTATGTGAAATTATTAGGCGTCGACCTTTACCAGTTGAGCTCTTTAGGCCTGTTGTCAAACCTTTAGAAAACGCTTGTTTGGAAGATTCTATTGTTGTATCCACCCAA